TGTGATGCAGCCCTGGCTGGTTGAGCCAAATAAATAAGTTGACATAAAATATTCAAAAAGCATTATATAATTACCATGCTGACAATTTTCAAAATTATAAATCTCATTCTGCTAACATCATTTTTTTTTCTTAGGCTTACTATATTTTGTTGAAAAAACTTTATATTTGATTACATTAGATTTTAATAAATATTTCATTGTTGTTTGGCTTGTCTAGGCTTCTTGTTTCTACTATGAAATATTGTCAGTTTAATTTTTTTTTTTTCAAAGATCAAGAAAAGCCTGAGATTGTAGATTGTCCAATGGATATAACAGTTAACACAACAAATAGGGAACCAGTGGCTGTCAATGTCACATGGACAGAGCCAACAGCTACTGATAACTCTGGAGAGACACCAGAACCAGAGTCTGACTACACCTCTGGTGACAATATGTTTGTGATTGGTGACACAACAGTGCAGTACAATGCAACAGATTCAAGTGGTAACTTCAATGATCGCTGCAGGTTTACTGTCACTGTTGAAGGTATTTTTGTATTTATTTGAGAATGCAGGACAAAGGGAATCCTATAACAACATATTGTTTTTTGTTATTGGTGTTGATATTGGCGGGTAAGATAGAGAGGTGTGGGTGGGCCCTGTGAGAAATGCTTCTCCCTGTCAGTGAAGCCAGATACATTACACAGGGGAGAAAAATGGTACAGTTAGTTGTGAGAATATAAGTGATAAGTTATAAGTATTTTTCCCACCTGGGACGGTCATCCACAACAGACTGAGTCTTCATTCTTAAAATACATCAACTACCATCAGGAAAGTAATTGTGTACCTACCCTTGTATAACATACTCAGAATTAAGAAACCATTATTGGGCATATGTAAAATTAAATTTTTAGGATCAAAATTGACAGACACATATGCAGGAAGTGTCAATGATTGTTTGTGTTCTCATTCAATTGCTTCATAGCTGTGATAAAAATAAGTAATAAGTGTCTTTGATGTATTTTCTTTACTTCACCTACTTCATGTGCTGAAAACCAATTTATCTTTACATACTTTTCCTCATCTTTCTCAAATTATAATAAAGGCATGCACGCTCGAGTCATTTCTTATAGGTAATTTAGATGTTTGTGGGCAGAGATACCCAGTGGTGGGCATGCCAGCGCAGTTGCAGGGGGAATTTTCCCCCTAATTGGACAGACCTGGACTCCCTGTCGTCCGACAAACGACTAAGTCGTAGGACCAAAAATTTCAATAACTAATAATTTGCCTAGCCAAATAATGCTTCTTTAATTGCCAATCCCTAATATTGTGGTCTGAAAGCACATTTAGGACAAAATTAAGCCATAAAAAACCTCACTATGAACCCTAACACGGATTTTTTTTATTCCGGGCTGTCAACCAAGGCTTCGTCGTCGCCTTGGTTCAGACTCCGCCGTCGAACACGTCAGACCCCTTGTCGGCAAATTTCTGGCGCCACTGCTGCAGATACCATTATCTTGCTATAAAATAAGATGTACCCTATATAACTTATATACCAACCAAATCCAAACTGCGATTTATAAAATGTCTCAAATTGAGGGAGTGCTATGAAAAAAAGAAGAAAAGAAAGAAAGTGAGAAAAACGTATGCAGAAGACACAGAAGAGTGAACAGAGAACAAAAGAAGTAAAATACAGAAAGAAAGCATCAAAACAACAAACTGAACTGTGGACCCATGTTTGATTGCAATAATATGTATATCTTTTTTGCAGACAATGAGCCTCCAGGTATAACTTGTCCTACAAATGTCACTTCGAACAACTACATTGATGAATCGTTTGGTATAGTACAAGTGAGCACAGATGAAGGAAGTCCAAATGCCGCTGTCACCTGGGATCAGCCTGTCACAAGTGACAATAGTAATGAAAATGTGACGGTAGTATCGTCACCATACCAATCAGGTGATATGATACCAGTCGGAAACTCTGTTATTGAGATTTTCTTTACGGCAACTGATTCTTATGGTAATGCTGATACGTGTGTATTTCATATCCAAGTCCGAGGTAAATCTTATATGGTATTTAAATAACATATCCTAATCAAATTAAATGAGTCAGTGATTCTTCCTAGGGAGGTATAAGTTATTTGTCGATAAGATACAACAAATGGCAGCAGCTTACA